CAGTCTGGCCATTTCAAGGTTCATACGACCACGAGCGCCGTGTTCTAGTGGCTAGGTAAGGTAGTTTACAATCAGGCTGAGCCAACGAACGACCGAACGGCCGCAGCCGCGTGAAAGGTCAGCCAAAGCCGTGGATAAGCTTAGAGAACAACCAGACGAATTTGAATTTGCCAAGATCGAGTCAGCGTGCCCGCGAATGACGGGGTTTTCCTCTCTTCAGGTTACCGAGAGAGGAAAAGCAGGGAGCAGCAGCCAAAACAGGCCGTCTCGGTACTTGAATACCGCCAACAGAAAAAAAACGCCGTTGTCAAGTCCGACTCAAAGAATCCCATCTGCGGCTCTTAAGCCACTAGGAGGCAGTGGTTATTAGGCTCCTTAAGCGGGACGGGATGAGCGTCGTGCAACCGTCTGGCCGGGACGTTGACATGGCCGATTAATATACAAACCCGGGGTAGAGTCACAGTGTATGCACTGTCTAGCACGGGTTCCGCACTGTCCACTCACGCCGGGCACTTGTTCCTCAGGCACGCGCCACCTGCCAAATGAGCGCACCCCAGATTTGACGCGCCTCCATCTCCCACGTCCCACGTCGAGGGTATCGCGGTTCCCATCCCAGACGCGTCAATCCCCACCATCACCAACAACCCGTCGCAGCTCCTGGGCAAACCGATGAAAATCTTGCGCGACGCTTGATCAAGCCCGTCAGCGACTTCAACCGCGCAATCTCGCTGCCCTTGAGGCTGCACCCTCTCCGCTACCATGTACATTAAACAGATTATCATCCAGGGCTTCAAGAGGTTTGTGCGCTCTTTGCGACAACAATCGCCGAACCTCACCCCGCTGACCCAATCGCAGCTACAAGGACCAGACCGTCATCGAGCCCTTCTCACCCGGCACGAACGTCATTGTCGGTCGCAATGGATCCGGCAAGAGTAACTTCTTCGCTGCGATCCGCTTCGTCCTCAGCGATGCATATACCCAGATGACCCGCGAAGAGCGGCAGGCCCTGCTGCACGAAGGTTCCGGCTCCGCCGTCATGTCGGCGTACGTCGAGATCATTTTTGACAATAGTGACGAGCGCTTCCACGGCGGAGGCAAGGAGGTCATTCTGCGCCGCACCATCGGAACCAAGAAGGACGAGTACTCGGTCGATCGCAAAGTCGTTACAAAGACCGACGTCATCAACCTGCTCGAGGCAGCCGGCTTCTCGAGGTCGAATCCTTACTACATTGTCCCTCAGGGTCGCGTCACGGCGTTGACGAACATGAAGGAGTCCGACAGACTCACATTGTTGAAGGAGGTTGCGGGTACTCAGGTCTACGAAGCGCGTCGAACCGAGTCGCTGAAGATCATGAACGAAACGAACAACAAGAGAGAAAAGATTGACGAACTTTTGGGTTACATCAAGGAGCGTCTGGCCGAGCTGGAGGAAGAGAAGGAAGAACTTCGAGGCTTTCAAGACAAGGATCGCGAGCGCAGGTGTCTCGAGTATGCGCTTTACTACCAGGAGCAGCAGCAAATTCAGGAACAACTCGACCGCATCGAGAACATCCGTCAGAATGGTCTAGAAAACACCGATTCGATTCGATCAGAACTGAAGGAGGCCGAAAAGCTTGTCACCAAGTTTGAGACCGAAATTCACAAGCTGAGGAAAGAGATGGATATGGCCAAGGTCGAGCGCCGCCAACTCGAGGAGGATCGTCGCGAAACTGCAAAGGCCAAGGCGAAGGCAGAGCTGAAAGTCAAGACGTTGTCTGATGGACAGTCAGCGGCTGTTCAAGCCCAGCAGCAACACGAGGCTGACCTCGCAGCGACCATCGAGGAGATCTCCGCGAAGAAGCAAGAACTCAACAGCATCGCCCCGGAGTTTATCAGACGAAAGGCCCAGGAATCGGAGAAGAAGCAGCAGCTGGACACTGCTGAAGCTGCACGGAACCGTCTGTTTACCAAGCAAAGCCGTGGATCCCAATTTAAGAACAAGGGCGAGCGTGATAAGTACTTGCGAGCCGAAATCGAGGATCTCCACTCCAGACTCATGAGCCACAAGGCGAACAAGATGGAGGCCGACGAGGATGTCACCAGAACGGAGAACGCCATCAAGCAACTAGAAAGTGAGGTTGCCAATCTCAGAGAGCAGTTGCAGAACTTCAATGGAACTCGCCACGAGCTTGCAGAGGAAGAACACAAAGCGAGAGAGATTTTGGACAAGCTCGACGATGAGAGGAAGGCGCTAGTCCGTCAGGAGGAGAAGCTCGACACCGTTCTGTCGGATGCGCGACAGGAGAGGGAGCGCGCAGACCGCGAGCTTAGCACGATGATGGACAGAGACACCGCGCAGGGTCTTGCTACCATCCGTCGCCTGAAGGCCACCGAGGACCTCCCTGGTGCCTACGGGACGATGGCTGAGCTGCTTGAGGTCAGCGACACCTACCGACTTCCCGTCGAGCAGATTGCCGGCAACAGCTTGTTCCACTACATTGTGGACACTGACCAAACGGCGACATACTTGACCAACCACCTGCGCTCGTCATACGGCGGTAGGCTCACCTTCATGCCACTCAACCGGCTTCACCCAAGGCACATCAACATGCCACGATCTTCAGACGGCATCGTCCCTCTCTTGAGCAAGATCAACTACGATCCCACATTCGAGAAGGCATTCCAGCAAGTATTCGGCAAGGTCGTCGTGTGCCCGAACCTGAGCATAGGAGGTCAGTACGCGAGGAGTCACGGCGTCGATGCTATTACCCTCGACGGTGACACGACCAACAAGAGAGGTGCCATGACTGGTGGATACATTGATCCCAGGCGATCTAGGCTCGAGGGAGTTCAGGCTGTCAGCAAGTGGCGCGATGAGTACGAGCGTCTGCTTGAAAAAGCCAACGAGTTCAGAACTCTGATCGAGCAGAAGGATCAAGAAATCACCCGCGCCTTGGGTGACGTCCAGAAGGCTGCGCAGAAGCTGCGGCAACTGGAGGCTGGCTTTGATCCTTTGAGACACGAGCTGAACAACAAGAACTTCCAGCTTGAGCATGAGAAGAAGCGCTTGAGCGACGCCCTGAGACACCGCGAATCAGTCGAGCGGGACATGAGGGTGTTCACCGAGAGCCTGGCAGCCGACGAGGCTGAATTGGCGTCTGATTTCAAAAAGGCCCTCAGTAACGCTGAGGAGAAGCAGCTGGTTGAGTTGGACGCTCAAGTGCAGAGGCTCCAGAAGGAATGGAACGATGCCAGCAAGAAGAGACGTGATGCCGAAAGTCGCAAGCAAATTCTCGAGACAGACATCAATCAGAACCTGCAGCTGCGTCTTGATCAGCTGAACAGCGCAGCTTTCGAGAATAACACTTCGTCTGGCGAGTCCGGTAGTCTTAAGGAGGCTCAGCGCGAACTCAAGAAGCTCCAGAAGGAGACCAAGGCAAATGAGGCCAAGATGCAAGAAATCGAGGCTAGAATTGAAGATCTTGGTTCAAAGCTGGACCGTCGGGAGGCCAAAAAGGCGGAACAGGAGGAGATCCGCGCCACGGTCGCTGCGAGGGAAGCCAAGCAGCGCGGTGCGATCGAAAAGAGCATGTCCAAAAAGGCTGTGTACACGGCGCAGGCTGCCGATGCTGCGAAGGCCATCAGAGACCTTGGCGTTCTGCCTGAAGAGGCCTTCGACAAGTACGAGAACATGGACCCGCGACAGATCGACACCAGGCTCAAGAAGGTCCGCAATGCGCTGAAGAAGTTCCAGCACGTCAACAAGAAGGCTTTCGAGCAGTACAACAGCTTTACTCAGCAACAGGATCAGCTCCTCAAGCGTCGCAAGGAACTCGATGCCTCTCAGGAGTCCATTGAGGAACTCGTTGCCCATCTTGATCAACGTAAGGACGAGGCTATTGAGCGTACATTCAAGCAGGTGTCCCGCGAATTTGCCACCATCTTCGAGAAGCTCGTGCCGGCCGGACACGGTCGCTTGGTTATCCAGCGCCGTACCGATCGTCGTGTCGACCCCGACGAGTCTGATGAAGAAGCTAGAGGCAGTGTCGAGAACTACACTGGTGTCGGTATCAGTGTGTCCTTCAACTCCAAGACCCTCGACGAGCAGCAGAGAATCCAGCAACTCAGTGGCGGTCAGAAGAGTAAGCCAACCGCTCCCCCCTTTGCTCACCCATTACTAACTTGCCAACTCAGGTTTGTGTGCCTTGTGTCTCATCTTCGCCCTCCAGCAGACGGAGAGCAGTCCCATGGTCATCTTTGACGAAGTCGACGCCAACCTGGATGCGCAGTACCGTACCGCCGTCGCCAGCCTTCTCCAGTCCATCTCTCAGGACGCCGGCACTCAATTCATTTGCACCACTTTCCGTCCCGAGATCGTTCACGTTGCCGACAAGTGCTACGGTGTGACTTTCCACAGCAAGACGAGTTCTATTGACTGCGTTCCTACAGAGGAGGCCCTCAGCTTCGTCGAGGGCGTTGCCGCTGGCAAGTAGGCTGTGGATATTGGTGAAGTTGTACGTGCCACTGCTCGTAATATGGGTATGAGGAAGCCGGGCTCATCTGGGAAGTGATGGGGTCAACCGGGCATGGCGTTGCGGCGATTTGTGGTGGATGGTTGCTGATTGATATCACAAGGCTTGTTTACCTTTGAGGAGTGTTCTCCTGGCTGCCATGTCAATGTGGCAGAATGACTTTGTCTTAGACTTGTGCTCGTTTCACGGCTTTATAACGACTTTTTACTGTCTCATTTGACGTATTCCTGTGCCTTATGCTGTGCCCCTTGTACGCGTCGCAACGGTCTATGTACTTCGGGGAGATTGAAAACCACCAAGTTCTAAGCGCTTCCATTGCCATCCAAATGATGATTTCGACCATTCGGACCCTCCTCTTGGCGCTTCCTTGTCCAATAAGCGCAAGGGCCTGACAGCAGACCATCTACATCAAGTTAGACGAATCGGACTGTATAATTAACGGGCAATTTGTCAACTGACACTATTCGCAGCTCCCCAGCCCGGCATACCATGGCTTCACTGGCAACCCTTCCGAACGAGCTTCTGGACGCCATTCTCCTTGAGATTCCCGCCGCCGATCTCGTCAGCCTTACACAAACATGCCGGAATCTACGCTCGGTTTCTCTGCCATTGGCTTATCGCGATATTGCCATCACTTCAAACGGCTCGACCAATGATCGCCTACCAAGAATCATCTTGCTTCTTCGAACCGTCCTGGAGAGCCCTCGCCTTACAAGACACATCAAAAGCCTGCGGCTGTTCACAGGAGAGGTGCGCCGTTCAGACACTTTGGCCCATGAGCGGGCGGAAATTCTCACCAAGTGGAACGGTCCTCCGCTTCTTGCCGGCGACATGAGCGGCACGCTGGTCAGCAAAGCCGTCCACGAGACGCAATCATCGTGTGCTGCTGACAGGATCACGGCGATCTTCGATGGCGACCTTGCCGCCGCCTCAGCACTGATCCTAGCGCGTTGTGAACAGCTGGAGAGTGTGACGGTAGACCACGAATTCGCCCGGCAGGGAGCCAAGTGGCTGACGGCGGTCTTTCGCCATGGACTGGGGGCTCTGAAGGACGACACCCGTCCGCCGACGTTCAGCAACCTCACAAAGCTTGACATCACCTGCTATCCTAGGCGCGACGTTCCTCACTACTGGGATCACATTTCGAAAGAGCTATTCATGCTGTCCTTGTATCTGCCCAAGATCAAAAGCCTGCGTCTTGGGAGAACTCCTCGGATCGATGCCTGGGATGAAGACGCTCAACGCTTCGACGTCGCATGGCCGTTTCCTGCGGCTCCCGGTGCGGCGAGTCTCACAAGCCTACGTCTCGATCGCTCGGCGACAACTTTCAGCGGCATCGAAGAATTGCTGAAGCGAACACCTAATCTCCGATCCTTCTATTTGGACAACTTCTTTCCAGAGACGTATCGTCAGGATTCACGCATTTTGCGGCAGGCACTGCAGCATGTACGGCGCACGCTGCTGCATCTGACGATCAAATACAAGGTTACCAGTGAAGACTACCCCGACGCGGACAGCTTGGTTTATCTGGTCTGCGGAAGTCTCGGCTCTCTCCGGGACCTCGAGGTGCTGGAGGAGCTGGACGTTGCGCTGTGTGTCTTCTACGGCCAGGACAGAGACTTGCAAGCGCTGCCGTCGCTGTCAGAGGGTTTGCCCCCAAATCTCAAGCGCTTTACTGTCAATGACAGCTTATGGGGCTACAATACCTTTTATGAATGGCCGACCCATGTCTATGTGCCGCTGCTGCGGGCGTTCCTGGGTGGCGGCTGGAGGACGGGGACTCCGCAACTGCAGGAGTTTGCGTTGGACGCAAGATGGCTGTGGAATGGAACTGATCACGAGTTGACACACGACATGCGGGGACTCCGTAAAGTCTGCGAGGAACAAGGGCTGAAGTGCACTCTTCCTGATTACATGGATGACGATGAATTTTTGGCCGAAGCGGAGGGACCCTTCATGAGCTGAGGGGTTGTCGTCGACTCTTGAGAGGAAGTTGGCAGTCGGTGATACGCCATTCAAGCTTTGACGGTCGAATACTCTTCACAAAAACCCTGGCTAGGTGACTTCATTGCATCTAGCAAATATCATACCCTGGTCATGGCAGCCTCTTGGACTGGCTGGCCTCGGTCAAGATCCCACCTCATGTTATTGGCCGGCAACGAATATATGCTTATATATGAAGGACAATGTGTCCGTCGCTATACTATGCTCGCCTTCTTTCTGTCGTCCCCTTGAGATTTGTTCGTCTTAGCCAGCCACGAGACCAAATGTCGGAGAGACGCATCGCTGGCCCTTGCTCTATGAGAACGCAGTCGATCAGACACCCGCCATGCACTACTGCCTGGGTATATATCCTACCCAGTGTCCAACGCAACATCCTGCTGGGAGGGTTCTTGAATAAACCAAGATGCTATAATTTCGGAGACTTGCCGCTCCAACATCAATGATAGAGGGGCTGTGAGTACTAAAGATATCAGTCTTGACAACGAGTGTTTTCGCATCAATGATTGCCGCTGCCCCAAAGCGGCGCGCAATTACACAGACACACGACTCACAGGCTACAACGATACACATGTGTCTATTCAACTAGTTGTTTCACCTCCACATAGTAAGATGACTTAGCCGTTGCTGGACAGCGGGCGTCATCAGTAGCCTAGGACAGAGTGCGAGAGCAAGACTGTCCATGCCAGTCGAAGGGCAAATCCGTCACAATGAGGGGCCCTTGTCAACTGGGTCTATACTACACGCGACAGAAGTGTTGCAAACACGTTCAAGAGAATAGGTGAGAAGCAATGACAGTCCTAGACTAAGGTATGTTCAGCGAGATATGTCGACAAGGTGAAGTCTTTCTTCAAGGACTCTTTTGGAGTTTCTTGAAATCATCATGTATGAGCATTACTCTTTGCCTAGACCATCCGTCCTGCTTTGATTCTGAGCCTGTAAGCTGTAATCAATCACCATGCAAGCAGGACACATCTTACTGTGGCCGATGATAACATGCACCTAAACTCGGGTACAAATCTTGGGGCTGGCGGGCAGGAAGCCTGTGCAAATAACATTGAAACATGAAGTCGATTGTGGATGCAGAACAAGTGAGCTGTGAGCGCCATCATCGGGGCCTCATACGGCAAACCAATCTCGCGCGGTGCAGGATACCACCATAGCATCCAATCTCCCCATTACCTCAAATGGCAAATTCTCAGAAGTTTCGATGGCAAGGGATGTCCCATGAAAACAGGAGCCCGCCGGCCAGAGTCTCGCGAACGCCTCCAACACGGAAAACCACAGCAGACACCGTGGCGATACGAGAGGTCCCTCGCACAGCCTGAACGTCAGCACCGGAGAGGGGCGGATCTCCAAACAACCCTCCAGGGATGCACGAGGTTGTCAACGTCTCTGACCACGAACATGGATTCAGGTTCCTCCAACAATCCTCAACGAAAAAAACAGCCCCAAAACATCCATCCTTTCCCGCTTCGAAAGCACGCAATATGCCGTTCTCGGGCACAGTGTTCGTTCGGTCCCGACTCATCGACACCGATTGGCCGTCAAGGGTGTATGAACGACGGACCGCCGTGAAATCCTTCACTTCGCGTATTCCCTTCCCCAAGCGCCGTGTTCTTCAACACGAGGCAAGGGGAAAGAGAAATCCCAAATCTCAAATCCCATAACGCATACGCCGGACTTTCCGAGGGACCAAAGCACTGCATACGCTACACAACACGACACACACCTGCTTTTCGCGACGTTGAGAAACCCGGGAAACTTGCTCTTCCCACGAAATATCGTCATCATCCGTCCCTTCCCACCCCCCCTTCGAAAGAATTCCTGTACGAGATGGATCAACACTGACCACCCCGAGAACCGCACCTCCCCAACGTGAGGCAGAATGCTCGACTCGTCCAACACCTCCTGAGCGAAGTTGGGGCCAGGCGGATGTCGGCGGAGGCGAAATTGCTGACTGCGATGGGGGCGGGATGGTGGGAACTCGGGCCAACTCAACTTCTCCTTCAAACTTCGGCCGGAGGAGGAAGAGTAGCGGAGTGGGAAGGAAAAAGGAACTGCCCAACGCATGAAAGGTCCGGGAGCCCACCCACGCACGACTTGCAAAACAGCCGGAGTTGCGAATCATGTGACGGGAGATAAGCGCGGCGAACCAGCCAACTGGAGTTTGCCCGAGAGAAGGAGACTTCCGGGAGTGTTCGTAAGCTTTTGGGACAGGGCGGAAAGACCAAACAATGCCTCGTCGGTTCCGCCCAGCTTTTTCCGTGTTGTTTGAGACCAATCCGAAGAGAGAAGTGCCCCAAACTCTGAAGTTGGTTGCAATGTGTTAGTCTGAAAACCAGTAGTCAAGTCACAAAGTCACGATGTAAGAGGGAGCAGGTATGTTTGTTTAGAACATAGAAAAATTTGATTCGATTATCCGACCGACCCGACCAACGCCAGAACAATGGTCTTTTGTTACAATTAGAAAAAATCGGGGGCCATTAGTGACAGTTGTGATGTACGCAGTATTACCGAAAGCGCGTCATCTAGTAAACCCCCTTTCCACCCCTTTGAACCTTTTCTTCTTCTTCTCTATGATGTGACGAAAAAGATGTTTTTTTGAACCCAAGTTAAAAAGAAAAAATAATGGCAGAATGCTGTGGTTGGGAAAAAAGACGCTCTTGATGAAGTCATGTCTTTTCGCACGCTCTTCTGACGCTGACTCTAATTTGCGAGATCATGCGGTTTAACCCTCCTCGACAACGGTGCGGTTGGCAATGTAGAACCTCTCGCCCTTGTCGTCCTTCTCGTGCTCGAGGGCGACCTTGCTCAGCTGAGTGAGGACGTTCTCGATCATGGTGTCGGTGACGCTGCGCTTCTTGCGGCCCATGTCGTTGAGGCTCTGCATGTTGGTCATGATGTAGTAGACCAGGGCCATGACGATGGTGACGGCGACGGAGTAGACGAAGACGACGCAGACGGTGACGAAGTCGGTGCGGCCGTTGTCGGACAGGAAGCGGTTGAGCGACGGCGGGGAGGCGGGCTCGCCGCGGCCGCCGGAGAACCAGCCGAAGACGCAGAAGAGGATGGCGAGGACGTCGACGGCGGCGATGGCGCCGATGAGCTGGAACGAGGGGAAGGTCTCGAAGCCGCGGGTGACGAAGATGAGCCAGTTCTGGGTCAGGGTGATCTCGAGGAAGAGGATCTCCTGGATGGAGCCGTACTCGTGGATGACACCGCCGTCGGTGAGGTACATGGTGCCGCGGAGGACCCAGGTACCGCCGGCGAGGAGGGCACCGAGGACGATGGAGATGATCCAGATCTTGGGCAGCTGCCACTCGACGGGACGCTTCTCGAAGTGGGCATTGTCGTACTGTGCTATGTTAGATACTGAACGGTAGTGAAAGAGTGCGAGAGTAAACTTACGGCAACGGCGATGGTGGCCAAATCGGCGAAGAGGGCGAGGAAGACGATGAGGTCGGCGCGAACAGTCTCGTTGATGATGATCATGGAGGAGACGAGGTAGATCTCAAGATGCAAGCAAAGAGCGATACGGTACTGGATGTAGGCCTTCATGCGCTGGAAGATCTGGCGAGAGAGCTTGATGGCGGAGACAATGGTGGAGAGACCAGGGGCGAGGAAGACGATATCGGCGGCGGCCTGGGCAGCCTCGGTGGCGCCCTCAACAGCAATACCGCAGTCGGACTTCTTCAGGGAGGGGGCATCGTTAACACCGTCACCAGTCATGGCAGTCAAGTGACCACGCTGCTGAAGCATCTCGACGACCTGGTACTTGTGCTCGGGGAAAACCTCAGCGAAACCATCGGCGCGCTCGCAAAGATCGTGGATGGAAGTGCCGGCCATGTCGGAGTGGAGGAGCTTGTCGGAGTTGTAGACCTTGGTGCCGAGCTGGAGCATGCGGCAGGTTTCGACGGCGATAGCGTGGGCGTCACCAGTAAGCATCTTGACCTGAAGACCGAGAGCCTGGGCCTCGAGAATGGTCTGGCCGGTGTCGGAACGAGGGGGGTCGAAGAGGGACAGCATGCCGAGCATCTCCCAGGGGCCATCCTCCTCCTTGACGGCGACGGCGAGGGAACGGAAACCACGGCGGGCGAACTCAGCGGCCTTCTCCTTGAAGAGAGCGGATTGCTCCTCGGTGCAGTCGGTAAGAGCGAGGACGGCCTTGGGGGCACCCTTGGCGCAGGTGTAGCGGACTCCACGGTGGGTGGCGATGGTGGTGATGCGCTTGGAGACGGGGTCGAAGGGAGTGAACTTCTCGGTCTTCCAGCCGTCGGCGATGAGCTCCTTGGCCTTCGGGTAGCGCTTGAGGGTGAGGACGGTGATCTTGTCGATGGGGTCGAGAGCCTTGATGTTGTGGGAAGAAGCGAGAGCGGCGACGGCCATCATCCAGTTGATGTCAACACCCTCCATGACGAAAGGCTCGCGGACGGAAAGCTGGTTGGCAGTGAGGGTACCGGTCTTGTCGGAGCACAGAATGTCGACACCAGCGAGGGACTCGATAGCGGTGAGCTTCTGAACGATAGCCTTCTCCTCGGCGAGGTAGGCGGCACCGACGGCGAGAGTGGTGGTGGTAACGCAGGGCAGACCGATGGGGACACCGATGATGAGGAGAATGAGAGCGTAGTGGAGCAGGTTGACGGAAGAGCCCTCCTCGGAGACCTCGATGTTGCGGTAGAAACCACCAACCCAGGAAGCGAGGATGAAGATGACGACGAGAACGAGGAGCGTAGTACCGATGGAGTCCATGACAGCCTTGAAGTGGCCCTGGTCCTGGGCACCCTGAACGAGAGAGGCGGTCTTTCCGACGAAGGAAGCCTGGGCGCCGTGGGTAACGATACAGTAGGCCTTGCCGCGCTTGCAACCGGTGGTGTAGTAGACGGTGTCGGTCATGAACTTGTCGACGGCGAGAGACTCACCAGTCATGGCAGACTGGTCGACGGCGATGATGGCGTGGCCGA